CGTTTTTTCGATCTCTTAAACAAGAATAAGGAGAAAATATTTTCTTTTTTCGCTAGTGGGGTTCACGATAATTAAGTTTGTGGACAATTTTACGTTGAATCAGTCACTATACTATGCCTGCAATTGATTACCATCTTCACAAATTATACCCTTTATATACTCCATATGTCACTCTGCCCAAAAATCAATAACTTAATTAATTTCAGCTTGCTTACCCAAAGGGGCATATCCTAATTAAAATATATTTTTTTAAAACTTTCTAATTAAAATATTTATAGCGTATATATATATGCTCAATGACTGTCAGAATGTTTCTTGGTGATTTAGCAAATACTATCCGATTACTTCTGTCGTTAATTAGTTTCCAAATCTATGTGAAATGTTCTTCCATGAATTACTTAGTTAACTTAAAAGAAGGATTTAGTTTTTTTTTTGTTAAAGTAAAAGAAGGATTTAGTTTATAAACATTGAAGTTTAGCTAGGCTATTTTTTTTTTTGTTTATCTCAATGGCAATTAATTCAATGTTAGTAAAATAAGAATCATTTGGAAGAGCGGATTAGTGTAAAGTCGTCTGCAGTTTCTCTAACTTTCTGCTGCTTGCGCAAGTTTTTTATCCCGTTCCAGCTTCCACGAGTTATAATATAATAGTAATTCGCAAGTACCTTAGAAAGGAATATTCATTAAACATTACTATTAGCTTATTGATAGTTTTAAATTACTATTTCCAACGATTGATTTAATCATCATTATACAGTTGACATATTTTCTGGAAGAAGATTTGTGAGAATCAGCAAATAGCTGGCAACTTTTTTTTTGTAAGATTGTAAAGCGACATGAATGTATTGAGCTTTATAAATAGAATATTTTCTTATCACGCAATCATTGAGCTTTTACTATATTGGGATTTTTAAACAACTTGAGAAACAACAATATTGATAAATGTCGTGAAATGATCGCACTAATATTATATTCATGAGAGATTTTATTAGCAAATTCTTAAACACCAAGGATATAAATGGTACGGACTGAATTTATGCTAAATTTACTGAATTTTTACTGTTTTTTTGCAAAATCTAACTGAATAATAACAAACTTAAATGGTAACAGCGAAATATGCTGCATATGGCAGAATTTTTGAAAAAAATAAATTGATAAAATAAATTTATTTCAAAATTAAGTGACATTTTTTAATAAATATTTCTTTTATTCCTAAGAAATTTTTTTTTTGTATTTCTTAAAATCTAACGAGAAAACTTGCAATTCTTAAAAGATTAAAAGTGAAGTAAATTAATCCAGATGTTTTTTTTCGGCGAAAATTTTACGTCAACTGCTGAATTTTTTTTTTGAAAAAAATTAACTAACAAGAATTTCTTAAAATTAGA